GCTACCATAGCGCGCAACACCTTCAACAGCGCGTAACAGCAACGCGCAACAACAACAACAACCAGCGCGGCTACCATAGCGCGCAACAAAAACAACAACAAGTTGGCCCCAACGGCAGCGACCGGCTAACAACAATAACAACCAGCGTAGCTACGATAGCGCGCAACACCTTCAACAGCGCGTAACAGCAACGCGCAACAGCAACAACAACCAGCGCGGCTACCATAGCGCGCAACAACAACAACAAGTTGGACACAACGGCAGCGACCGGCTAACAACAACAACAAGGCGGCGAAATTAAAGGCGGCGACACCGCCTAACCACAACAACAAGGCGGCCAACAACAACGGTTGCGCGAAGCAAGTGGTGAGTTCTAAACCCTAGAAAAATACCAAAAATCAAGCAACAAAAAGTAAATTAGTACAACAACAGAAAATTAAATAATGGAAAAAAAAGAAAACGTATAACCAAGTATAAATCTTGACGACTTAAGTATTTAGTAAAGCGATAGCAACCTGAAAATAGTATAAGATAGTAAGTGTTCGAAAAACAAAAACAAAAGGACTTATCATTATTACTAAAATTAGCACGAAGAAAAAAAAATATATATATACATCTATATTTATTTTACTAAAACTTAGAACATGGTTAATCGTGTGATTAAGACCCTTATAGTAATAAGGTGATGAAGTAATTTGAATTGTGAAAAAGGGGAATTAATGAGAAGCGGGTAACTGACATTAGGGCTGAAGTTAGTAAGGAAAAAAAAAACAACTACGGACTATATATATTCATAAAATAAAATAAACACATTAAACAAAAAAAATTTTACTTAAATAAAGTACTAACAAATGAATGAAATTAAATTGAATTAGATGAAAACCGAAAACAAAGCTAACACGGGACTAAAATATTTAATTAACTGAAACTTAAAGAAAATGTAAATTAACATAAAAAAAGGCCACTATATAACAAAACCTTAATATTAATAATTAATAATACTAATAATAATAATAAACCAAACAGGAAAGAGGAATAAATAAAAAAGAAAGAATAAAAGGAATTAATTAAATTACGTGAACCCAAAACCAAAACAAATGAATGTAGAAACCCCGTAAATTAACTTAAATTTAGGAGAACTATAACTAAGATTTAACTATAAGTACCTTAGGCTAACTTGACCTACTTACCTGAATTACTTACCTTGACTTACTCACCTGAGTTTCCTATTTAATTCACTTACCTGAACTACATACCAGACGTACCTACCTGATTTTCCTACCTAATCCAATATTTTTGCGACTCTTTACCTGATATTACCTACTTGAACTTTTTACCCACTATTACTTGATATACATTTTTTTGTGAAAATACTAGATATATGTATCTAGCTAGCCTTAACTTAGTTCACTTAATTAGATTTAACTTTAGGGTAAACACTTACCTCATGTATTTACCTCAGTTCTAGTTATCTATACTTACCTTACCCTCTTGCGATTAACACACTTGCTTTAGACTT